GTAGAGCTAAAGATGGTACATTGTCAGATTATAATTTGTTTATGACATCAACAATTGATCGTTATTTAGCTAGACCTAAAGGCAAACCATTTGATGATATGTGTATTGCTACTTTCTGCTCAGAATATAGAGTAATGTCTAGTTCTGAAAATCCTAATATCAGTTCAGAGAAAAATCCTGCTTTTGAATTACAAAATGATTTAGGTTTTATTATAAAACGTACAAGATCTCCACCTGCTATTGTTCGTTATGCTAGATTTTCTGTGACAAAAGACCCTGAAAATTATTACCTCAGTAGTCTACAATTGTTTTTACCTTATCGTGTTGACACACAGTTAAAACCACCTCAGTTCGAAACACATGAAGAGTTTTATAAATCAGGACATGTAAAAATCGCTAAACAAATTGTGTCTGTTAAAGAAATTGTTGAACAGAATCGTAAACTATTTGAAACTGATATAGATATTGATTCGATTGCAGAAGTTGTAGAAAAATGTGGTGATTTTCAAGATGCCTGGGCTAATATAGCACCTGAAAGTGAAATAGAAAGAATAGAAACTGAAAGATTTCGAAATGAGAATGATACTGAACAAGAAGACAATTCAGAACCACAAATCCCAGACATTATTTCTGATAAAGGTAACAGTGATAGAATCAGATCTGAAAATAATATAAGTGGAATTTCTAAAGCTGATGCTATTCCTATGTTAAAATCGTTAAATGACATTCAGTCCAGAGTATTTTATAAAGTTCGACAATATTGTTTAGATAAAGTACATGGTAAAAATCCTGATCCATTAAGATTGTTTATAACAGGTTCCGCTGGAAGTGGGAAAAGTCACGTAATAAAGTGTATGAATTATGAGGCTTCTAGAATTTTAGCCAAAATTGCAGAAAACTTAGATGATTGTTCTGTGTTATTAACAGGGCCGACAGGTGTTTCGGCTTTTGCAATTGGTGCAAGTACCATACATTCTAGTTTGTCAATAAGAACTAAGTTTACATTACCATATCAACCATTAGGACAAGAAACTGTCAATACATTGAGGTGTAAATATCGTAATTTACAGATTCTGATTATAGATGAAATTTCTATGGTAGACCACAAGTTACTGTGCTATATTCATGGATTATGTCAAATTAAAGGTACTAGTAGTAATGAGTTATTTGGTAATATCTGTGTAATTTGTTTTGGTGATATGTGGCAATTAAAACCAGTTAAAGCTTGTAGTTTATGTCATGATAGTGTAATAGATATTTGGAATGGAAATTTTAAACTGATTGAGTTGACAGAAATCATGAGACAGAAAGATGATTTAGCTTTTGCTCAACTTTTAAATAGAATTAGAAAAAGAAAGAAAAATGAAGAAATGTTGGCTTCAGATATTGAAATGTTACAAAGTAGAGTGACTAATGTAGAAGATGATTCTTTACATATTTTCTCCACTAATCAACAAGTAGATAATTACAATACAAGAATGATCACTGAAAAATGTCCCAATTCTATTTCTATTCAGGCTTTAGACTATAGTAAAGATGCTAGATCAGGAAGAATGATATTAAAAGATTCTTGTGTTAAAGCAACTGATACACCACTTGTAGATAATTTAACAGTTGGTATTGGATCAAATGTAATGTTAGTTGTTAATTTAGATGTTTCAGCTGGTTTGATTAATGGAAGTTTTGGTACTGTGACATTTATTGAAAATGATCAAAATGATAAACCTAGAAAGATATATGTTAAATTTAACAATGCTAAAGTTGGTATGAGTAAGCAGACTTATCGTCTTCCACCTAATGTTGAACAAGGTAGTATTCCTATAGAAAGATATGAAAGTACACATATAAATTATAAAGGTGATGTTCGTCGTCAATTTCCATTACGTCTAGCTTATGCAGTAACTATTCACAAAGTACAAGGTTTGAGTTTAGATAGAGGTGTTGTTTCTTTAGATAGAATTTTTCAAACAGGTCAAGCATATGTTGCATTAAGTCGAGTTAAAACATTAGAAGGATTGACTATACAAGATTTTAATGAGAAAGCTATATTTTGTGATGAAAAGATTGAATCTGCTCTAAATGAAATGCCAAGATTTTTACAACCTGAAGAACATACTAAACCTAATAGTTATAATATTATCTTATTTAATGTTCAAGGACTTACTACACATTTAGAAGATTTAAAACATGACAAAAGATTTATAAATTCTGATTTGATATGTTTGACAGAGACTTGGTTACGAAATGTAAGAAACCCTGCTAAAGTACAATTTGATAATTTTATATTTTATAATCCTCGTCACGATAGCTATGATGATAGTGCTAATATTAAAAATCTTAAAGAAAAAGACCATGGTGGTGTAGGAATATATTATAGTAAAAATAAAGCTTGTAATATAATAAGATTAGGACAATTAAATATAGAACATGTTGCTTGTAATATTCCAGATAAAAATGTTTCTGTAATTGTTATTTATAGACCACCAAGATATAGATTAGAATTGTTTATGCCTCAATTAGAACGATTGTTGACTGAGTTACAACAGTCTGGTTATAATTATATTGTTATGGGAGATTTCAATCAAAATCTATTAGAAGGACCTAGTTCTATTAAGGATTGTTTTCAAGAATTCAGGTTTAGACAGTGTGTGACAGAGAGTACAACAGAAGGCAATACAATATTAGATCATGTTTATATGAGTTCAGGTATTAATTTAAAACGTGTTAAAATTACTATTGTACCTACATATTATAGTTATCATGAAGCTGTTCACATTCAGTTATTGTAATTTACTTTCTATTTTCAGAAACAGTTCAGATATATTGTTGTATTTTAAAGGAAAGAAAATGGGTAGGGGAGACCATTTACCTCTGTTGGGTGGGGGTGGGTAATGATGGGGGTTTGGTGGGTAGGAATGAAAATAGTTTTTGAAGAAAGACAGCAGAATACATTAATAGCTGAGTACTGGTACAACTGTTTACAATAATCTGAGACTGAAATGGCCAAGTTCACATGTATTACCACAACATTTCAACTGTATTAACAGTAATAAATAAGGTACTATTCTATTCTGTTATTTTTTTTCCAAATGCATTTAATATTATCAAATGAAGGTAACATAAGAAGAATCATCTTTCAACTGAATTGGTTAAGTTAGCATATGCAATCATTTGTATAGACAGAAGTATGAATAGTTTGTGCTGTATTTTTAGAAGAGTATTTTTTATATTTTCAGTCAACATTTGAGGAAATATATATAACATGTTGAGAAAACCTGAAAACTTATAGTTTATTTAGTTATTGGGCCCGAAACAGAGGTAAATGGTCAAACTTGCTCTAGTTACATAATAAAGCTAGGTACAGATTAAGTTGATTCAGTTATTTGATACTGTATGTAGTTTATTAAAACTCATATAAATAGTTTTTAACTTTTTAATTATACTAAAGGAATAGTTCACATGAACCTAGAATGTAGACAAAGATTAATATTTTGGGTGGGGAATATGCATCCAGTGTATTTAGATAAACATCACATGGAATTGCATCACTTAGGACATATCAAAATCTTATTAAATGCTAATGTTGATAATTAGTTTTGTGTTATTTTTGTTCTATTGTCAAGAGACAATAGAACAAAAAGAACACAAAACTATTGAGAAAGCTGTTAAGTTTAGTACTTGGCATATTTGACAAATCTTAGGGTGTTTAGAAGATATTCTGCTAAAGATGCACTAACTGCCTTACCAGGGACATGTAACATTAAGATTAACATTCTGTAATAAATTAGATTATTTGGAACTATTCCTTTATGTTAATCGTAATTCAAGTATTTTGTTACTTCACTTAAAATATGCAAACATTTTGATTGTAGGGACCATATGATAGGTTTCAAAAGAAATGCTAAGTTAAATATGGTTTTTTATTTTCTTTCATTATTTTGTTTTGAAACTATTTGGAAATGTAATTTTATATTTGTAAAATATGTTAAAATTCTCATTTTAAATACCATATTTGATTTAATTTCTTTTAAGGGAGTAATAAAAACAGTAATATAAGTAAAAATAATACCAGTACTAAAAATAATAGTAAATATTACAGTTAAACTCTCTTTTTAGCTTCGAAGTGTTGCATTTTTGTTTTGATTTGTAAATTGTATATTTATAACTTGATATGTATAAATATAACTTGAATAATTTTTTAATTAACTGTTTTTGTTTAATACTACTATATGTAATGATTAACAACACAAGTTATATAGATATACTAGTTTGTGTTTTATTACATACTACATTTTGAAACACATATAGGTAATGTTATCAAGTAAAAATCATATTGATAACATTACCTGTATGTGCTTCAAAATGTAGTATGTAATAAAACTAGGAGTATATCCATATAACTTGTGTTCTTAATGTTTACCTTCCTGCTTCTATATATCTTACAAAGATTATATATGTAATTATGTAGAGTATTGTACTAGAAAAATAACAATCTATTATAGATTACAAACTGAATTAAATGACAACTTTGTATATGATCAATGTATTTTTTATGAGTTTTTATCCTACTTTCTGCTATTTATTGGGTTAATGAAGTAGTAACATCTTGCAGTGTGAAATACAAGAAATGTGACCACTGGCCAAACATCAAATTGGAGCCACCAATGTTATCTTTTGAAATGTTCAAATGTAGAAAAATCTTTCGACCTCCAGTCTCCAAGCCTTGGTTTATTGTCTCATTCATCTCATGGTATTATTTACATACAAATACACCTGTTAAAAAAATTTTGTGTTCATAATATATCATGTATGTTTTTGTAAATACTGTAATCACACAATATTGTTACTTATTTTAATGTGTGCACCTTCTGTTTTATTGTGCACTTTATTGTACAATAACTTAACGTAGTGCACTGTGATTAATGTTAAAATATACTCATCATTGTTAAAGCAGAAATACAGCTTATTTTATGAAACATTAATTAAGTATGAAAAAAAGGCTAAGAACCAACTGAAATTGTAACAATATGTTAAAATATCTTACTACAATGAGGAAATAGTGTGGATGTTTGTAAGGAAGCTTTCAAAATCTATCAAGGGAAGTAACAATGATTAACCATATTAAATCAACTAACCTCTTACTGTTTGTTTACAGCCAAAACATATTGGCAACAGGTTTTGTCAGTTTTATTTGATATTTTTGTTTGTTGATGTTTTCTTTATCATTTTTTTGATCAAAGAAATAGATTCATATACATGTACATTGTCAAATTAAACAAAATAATTTAAAATATGTGTATTTCTGAAACTGATGTTTCAGATTCAATAGCCACTGTAGACATGGTCAATTACAAACATTAAGCTACCATTCCAAGCCATTTTTTGTGGAAGCGTTTGTAGATAAAAGGGGGCTGGATAATAGAGGCTAGAATTATATGTGACATTCCTTAATTCATTTTCATTGTTGTGGTATCATTTTATTTGTTGTCTAATTGTA